GACTTTGAGAAGGTAGAACATGCCTTGAATATCAACATGCCTACGAGAGAACGGTTGGATACTAGAAAGGTGTGTAGAGGTTGTGTGCTTCGAATTGGGGAGCAAGAATTAATTGTAGATTTGGTTACATTAGACATAAAGGGGTATGACATTGAGGCTAGGGCTTACATTGAGGCTAGCCACTCTTGTTCATTGAGGCTAGGGCTTACATATATGTATTCTTTTCACTCTCAATCATATATATATATGCTATAAAATTCTTACTCCTTGATATTTTTGCAAAGATTCCTATGCTTAGAAGGAGGCTATGGTAGAATAGCTATCAAATCCTTTCTTTTCTTGTCTTAGAACCCTAGTTTTCAAAGGAAATGAATTTTCTCTTGATTTCTCCTTTGTCCTTGATTTCAAAACTTTAGTGTTTTTTATTGAACAATAAAATAGTATTGTTGATGATCTCTTACTTATTTTCTTAAATTGTTCTATGATAATACTGCATGTGAAATTTGGGGATTTTGGAATTACTTGTTATTTGAGAAATTTGTTGAAAATTGTATCTCTTGTGGATGTTTGGATGACTATGGGTAGCCGTTGACCGGGTATCGTAGAGTGGGTAGATGCTTTTCTTACTCTTTGCGGATTTGAATTTTTCCTACCACTCGTAGTGGGGTTGGTGCCTTGTGAGGACCAAACCACTAATCGCTCACGGGTACCGAGGATGAGGGTTAGTTCCTAGGTTGGATTCATCACTGCCAATGTGTTGGTATACGCCTTTCCTAAAGTTTGATAGCCTTGCGAGGATTCGGGGTGTGTGTGTGGGTCAGGATATTCTCGATGTGTTTATTCATGCGAAATCATACATCATACATGAGATGCATGAATACATAATGTTGTGAAAGATACAAGTTGTGATTTGATATACATTGTTGGAAATGGTTCAAATTGTGGGTAGTGTTTGTTGTTGTGGAAATGACTTATTGTTGGGAAGTGGTTTTATCTCTTCTTTTAATTTATTGATATTGCTTAAACTTGAGATCGGATGAACTGTCATTGTTTTCTTTTAAAAGTTATATATGATTTTTGTGAAATGAGACTGACTTGTTTTATATGTTTTTAAACCCTTGTCCAAGTTTGGGAGGATTTTCCTACAGAGTTTAGTGCTCACCCTTTACAAACAATATTCATTTTCAGATTTCAGTTTAAAGGAAAAGCTCGGAGTTGACGAGCAGATAAATTGGAAAGTTCAAGTGGATGAGCATGTGGATCTAGAGGGAGAAGTCTAGAATTGCTATTTTTATGTACTAGACTAAGAGTTTCATGTAGAGATAATGCTTGTGTTGATACTTTCCTTATTCCGCTGCAAGATACTAGTTTGAGCATATTCTTTTGGGCATAATTGTCATTGTTTAGCATATTCTTTTGGGATGTAATGACAATGATTTGACATATTCTTTTGGCTGATGTTATATATATTATGGATGATGAAAGAAATTATTTTTTTTTTGGATCTTATTAATGACTCTCGTGATGTGAATGATTTTTAGATAATAATGCCGTCGAAGATGGATTTTGGGGCGATACAGACCTTCATCTAATTGTTGTCTGTAATAGGAGAACCCATTAGATTTCATTATAAATAGCAGGCTGGGATCCCTCTCCACTTCATAACCTTAATTTTGCTTGTTCCATTAAGAGCCGCATATTGCTTTGAAGAAGGAGATGAAGACCTTACCCTTCTGCAAAAGAAACCTGAAGATCGAATATCATAACTCATACGTGTATGTTTTAAACCTATATAATCTAAATCTTGTAATTTAGGTGTTCTAAATTTCATATATAAATTATTAAATTTCTTACATGTGGTATTAGAGCATATAGTATATGAATTTAGAATCCAGTGAGATTTGTTATATATTTTTATTCATATAATTTTGGAATTTCAAAATACTTTTTTATGGTGTTGGCGACACAAATTTTTTCTCAACACAGTGTTGAATCACACCGTCGCTATGATGACGGTACACTTCCCGTATTTTTACTCAAAGTTACAACACTCTTCCAAGAAAAAGAAAAAAAAAAAAGGTGAAACCATCATAATATGGATGGCGGCCAGTACGTCATAAGAAAATAAAAAAAAAGGGCGGAATCACGATGGCTATGGATTAGTGGTTAATACCTCGGGTCTTTATGTTTTGAAGGGGCAGAACCTTTCAACAAGTTATTTTTTATAGAAGAATTCTTTTGCTTTTAACGTGTGATTTTCATCTTCTTCAGTCTCTTTTTCGTTCTTGAATTTTTGTTTTGATTAATTCTTGTGGATTACTCGTGTTAATAATATGGGGTCATGCTGATAAGTAGATGTAGACTTTACTCATACAAATTATTTTTTCATATTAATGTAATTTTGATTGAATTGTTATAATTTGTAGAGGGTGTTTGTACAATTCTATATGATGAATTTTATTTTATGATCTACATATTATTTATTAAATGTTGGTATATGTGAATTGAATTACTTAGTCATTAGTGGAGTGAGTATAAATTAAAATGAGCTTAGTTACAAGTGAGGTGAGTATAGAAAGGGTGAACTTAGTAATTTTATAATTCAGAGTTTAATGAGTTGATAAAGAAGATTTGGGGGTGGGAATAACCCCACCCAAATATATGTGGTTATTATCTACAATATAAAATAACTAGGAATAACCCGTGCCGGAAGGCACGGTGCAATTAAAAAAAAATCTAATATTGAATTTAAACGCAAAATAATCAAGCACTGAACTCGAATACGTACTAAATTGAAAACTTAAACTCGCCCTATTTCACATATCTGAAGACACTATACATAGTTCTTAAACACAAAATAATCAAACAATGAATATAAACATTCATTAAGTTAAAAATCGTTTGGTAATTTTTAATGTCATGACTTTTAGTGAAATAAAAAGGATCACAAATATGATGCCACAAATATCACACCCAATCCTCCCTTCATGTACCAATTTATCAACTATCGCAACTCCAAGCTACATAAATGTCCTTAATTTAATCTACAAATTTTCAACATCATCAAACACCACTACATTAAAAGAACCAACTTGGCATTTGAGTCATCAACCCATATATCATTCTTATTGTTCTGTCAGATCTGGGGGATAAATTAATTTGGCAAGAGACTGACTTTGGGCTTTTTATAACAGGGAGTGTGTTAGACAGTAATTAAAACACAAATGCAGAAGTAGATAAAATTTCAAGACGTATGAAAATAACCCGTGCTTGAAGGCACTGTATAACACAAAAAATAAAAATCTAGCTCTAGTTGTGTAATATAAATATTTAAAATAACAATCTATTTAATGACATAACTTGGAATTATTTTGTGAAAAAAAAAAAAGAAGACAACTTAGAATCAATATGAGCTATGGAAAAATTTCAATATGTGTACATAGTGTATACATATCAAAAATTATATTTGCCATTACATCACAATCATGTCCAGACATAACTACTTTGCCAACACAACTAAATTGAGAACTTTCAAATTTATCGATAAACGAATGATATTTTAATAAATTCTTCCAGGTAATTTAAATATGTTAAAATTCATAAGATTAGCACTGGGTAATAATTGCTAACACCAATTTGAATCATTACGCAAACATTGTTGTAAAACTCATGAACAAATATTGGTACTGCTTCAGTTGGACACTTTAGAGGAACATACTACCAATGTAAACTCCAAGATGACCAGTTGAGGAGGCCTAATAAAAGTTCTCAAGGTGATATGATTTGCATATAAAGTAGATCACTGCCTGGATGATGTGGCCAAAGAGAATCAGTAGGGACAACCACCACCTGCAAAGATCAACATAAACTCCCATAAGCTTGTCTCCATACCAAAACACAAATAGGAAATGAAATGCCGACTAAATTTCTATAAAACAAGGCAAAAGGAAAATGGGAATAGAAACTCTGGGTAACTGCTTGAAAATAAATTAGATCAACAAATTAAGTCTAAATAACATTACTCATTTAAAAAAAAAACTGGGCAACTGCTTGGAAAAACTGAAGAGCAGTGGCAGAGGAAAAAACACAGTATAAAATATGTGTACTGGCTGGCTTTAAAAAGTCATTTTGCTGGGAGAAAAACATAATTTAAAAAGGGGCTTTAGAGTTGCTACAAACGGGAGAGGAAAAACCCATAAAAATTATTGCTGAAAAACAAGGAAGAAAAATTGAGAGTTCCAGCCAAGAAAAAAAGGAGAAGCTGCACGTGTTGACAAAGGAGTTGTAATTACATTTGTTGGTTTTAAGGGGTGGTTTTGTGTGTACACTACTGAAAAATTCTGGTAAGTTGTCCCTCTAAACAACAATAACCAAATTTCAACCAACACTTCAATTGACAATAAATTTCATAAAACTCACCATCCATAAACTAATACAAAATTTCAATTAAAATTCAGCAATTATTACCCATTAACCAAATTTCATGATTAAAAATAAGAACCAACTAAAGTCAAGCAAATCAAACTCAACTGAACAACAGTATATAACTCTGATAAAGACACAAAACTCACAGATTTATTTTTTCCTTTATTTTCTTTCCTTTTTTGGCAACCAAACAACACCACCATTGAGATTGAGAGTTTCAGATGCAACACCACCCCAAACCATAGCACCAAGACGGCCATTACCAATGGGAAGAGCATCGGTCCAGTGCCTTGCATGTTCATTCAACCTTACCTTGAGTGGCCTCGTAGTCTCTGATGCTACCAAGCTTTAAGGTCCAGAACCCAGTCACCATCTTCCATTGAAACCCAAAGAAAAGATAACCAACTGGGCTAATGGAAACAGCAAGCTCTCAAGTCTTCCTTTTTCTTTCCAAAATCTTTGAATGTCACTGGGTTTTGCTCATATATCAACAAAAATCCCCATCTGGATTTTGCTCATATACCAGCACATGAATTGGGTCTTTCTTCTTTTACAGTTTGCTCATATACCAGCATATGGGTTTCCCCCACCCGGGTACTGATATGGGTCTCTCTAATCCAAAGAAATCTCAACGACCCACAAAGAAGAGAGAAGGGCGTTGCTGGGGCTGGGCGCTTGAGGGAGGGAGAAATAGAAAGAGGGGAGGAGAGGGGATGGTGAGAGGGATGGGGGAGGGTGTTTACGCAGGGAGCCGCTGCGGTCGGCATGAATTTGGGGAAGAGATTGAAAAAGAAGAGACTGTGAGAGAGAGAGAGCCGTTCGGTTGGGTTGCGTTGGGTCGGATGAGATGGTTTCGGGGAAAAAAATATATGGGTAGAAGATTCAAATGCCTTTTTATTTTATTATATAGATGTGGTAAGAACACATACAAATGTAATAAAAATATTTATAAATATAATACATTTTTTTTGTAACAAGGACAAGTGGTACCCACAAAAATAATAAATTTTTTTATTATACATTGACCTACAAAATTATAAAAAATCCATTGAAATAATAAAAATTAAAGGTACAATACCAAATTTATTTTTTCAATCTCGTAGTCAACTCCAATAGTCTAGGGCTCAAAAGAATTTGCTAGTCTAGTAATCGTACTGGCCTTACTTCTCACTCAGAGATTGGGAGTTCGAATCCTAAAATCTCTATTAGGGTTCGGTGGCTAGCTGCTATACTAGTCTAGTTAAGTCTAGTTCCGAAAAGTGTTTCAAGCTCGATCAGGAGCTTTAGTATCCCACCGGTGAAAGGCTAACCAGGTGGTCACAGGCTAACCAGGTGGTCACCGGACATTCTTTCTTACCCTCACCCTTTTTTTCAATATCAAAAAAAGAAAAAAAATCAATATAGTAGCTAAGAGGGCATATAATACCATATTCAAACACTATATATTAAGTTGAAAATCATTTAGAACTCGTCTTTCTCTTCGCATTTGCCAAAAGAATGATGAAATGTAATTGTATTCGAGTAATTATGTGATGTAATTATTAATTATTTGTTAAATTAATTTAATTGTTAGTTTTAAGTAATTTGATGTATTTTTATTAAAAGCAACAATTATAATTTTTGATGTGAGGTTGATTTTGATTGGTTTGAGAGATAGATAAAAGAAGGGGGCAAAGGATGCAAAAGGGGTAAGAAGAATAATGCTTTTTTATATTTAAAAGTTTGACATAATTATGATCTAATGACGTAATTTAGTTGAAATTATTGTATTAACACTAAATTTTAATGTTTGATGTATTTTAATTTATATATAATTTATGATATTTATATACAGTGTTATTAGTTATTTTTCTAATAGGATCAATAACAAAATCGAACCTATATATATATATATATATATATATATATATATATATATATATATATATATATATATATATATATATATATATATTCACATCCTAGTCCGATTAAAGTGGCTAATGGATTTGGATTAACACATAAATAACACATTTCATATATGATTAAACTGATCCAAACTCGGACTGGATTCAAATTAGAATTAACATCCCTAATGTCGACCTCATCTCCTTATACTATACCTGTCCTAATATAAATTACGAGATTGAATATAATTAACCTTCAGCCTGAAAGGGGGGTTTATTAACATACAGCTCGAAATTTTAATACCCTAAATTATACCAAAGTTAATTATATTTGTTTTTTTTTTGGTCATGTACTATTACAAAATAGGAGGATAACGAAGTTTGAACCTCGACCTTAAAATCTAATAGCAGGGGTAATGGCTATTATATCAACCACTAATCTCAACTATATTTGTTGCTCGAAATATGATTTTTTTGATGTGAAATTACAATAAAAAAAAAAACCTAGGAGGATCTTAACATTTTTTCATCGAACTAATAAGGAACTTTCTAAATTAAATTACACTATTTCGGGATGTAGTTACAAACTTTTGAAGTTTTTAGAATCGATCTCAATCACCATAAAAAAATACTAATGAGCCCTAAAAAGTTGTACAAGACCCCAAAAAATTATGTTTTGAGTTTGACACAACAATTTTTTTATTAATGCCGTAGAATTTTTCTTTCTTTTTCGAAGTGAAATATGTATACTCAATATTTTTTTTTGGTATGAAAATTCTCAATGCAACCTCAATGTTTCTTAGAATTACACATCTCATTACTGACAGTATTAAAATAATTTAGTACCATTTTATCATATTTTCAAATTTATTTATTAAATTATAATAATTTTAAAAATGTATTTTAAATCCATGTTCTTAACAAAAAGAATATTGTGATTCAAACACACGATTATTATGTAAAAGAACAATTTTTTTGAAGTGTGATTCTAAAACTTCTTTTTTTTTTTTGGGTTGAGAAAAACGTGTGATAGATGAAAAAAATTAGGCTTCAAAGTTTATTTTACTTGTTCCCATCTCAGCATCCGAAAAAGATGAAAAGTTTCATTTTACTTGTTCCATCTCTCTCTCTCGTTTTTTCCCAAACCCAACCCCCTTCAAATCTTTATTTCTCAACTCAGTCAGTTTTGAACTTATTTCTCACACCTAGTTTTTTTTCAAAAACGTCATTTGAAATGATGCCTTCATATGGTAAAACGTCATTTGGAATGATGATTTAAAGTTGAATTTTTTTTTTAAAACGCCATTCCTAATGATATTTTAAAAGTCGTCAGTTGTAATGACATAAAAAAAAATCAATTTGAAACAACAAACATAACAAACGTTAAAAAAGCAAATTGCAATAAAATATCACTTAAAATGATGTTTTTAAAAACGTCATTCTATGTGACGTTTTCTAAAAATGTCATTTAGAATGATGATTTATTTAAATAATATCTAGCCCATGACAGAAGACTTAGGTAAATGTTTTTTTAAAAAATTTACCCTCTCTCAAATCCCTCTCTCACAGTCGAGACATCATCCTCCTCCACTCTCTCAGGTCAGCCACCCTCTCTTAGTCAGTCTCTCCTCCTTTTCCAACCAGTCAGCCATCTCAGATCCATCTCTCTTAGATCGTTCTCTTCTCCTCCTCCTCCTCCAACCACTTAGCCACTGTGTTCCCCTGTCTCAGATCGATCTATCTCTCCTCCTCCTCCTCCACCTGGAACCACTCAGCCACTATCCCCACATTCTTCTGCTCTCTTGTCAAGTTCTTACCGATTCATTTACTTTGTTTTGTTTAGCTCTATTGGCTGCGACTGGGGTTTCAGTGAAGTCTCTTTCTTTATCTGTTATGTTCTCTTCTTCAGAAAGGTTAGAACTACGATTTGTGTTTTGATTTAAGGATTTGTTGGTTATATGGTTTTGCTGGGTTTTGTTCTGAAATGATTTGATTTTTCATCTCTCTTTTTTTTAGAATATTAATCTTGTTTGACCACTGGATTTATTTGAAATTTTGTGCACTATTTTTGTAATTTCATGTTGATTATGTAGATGAGTTTGGTACGATTTGTTACTTCACAAAATGATTCATTTGTTTTTTTGGTTTTGCTGGGTTTTGTCATCGAATGATTTGATTATTTTCTGTTGTTTAGAAGACTAATGTCTCATTACCACTGGAGTTTACTGTTCATACAAATTTGTGATAATTATATAGATATGAGTTTGCTGCTGAGTTGAATCTTTGATAGGTGGTTGATATTCAGTGATTCACGTTGCTGATTTGAGTCTTGATTTTGTATTCCTGTTTCTAATTTGAATTGTTAATTCATACTAGGGATTACTCAATCACGAATTTCCATGGAAGTTGATTATGCTCTTATTGAATGTTTGTATAGTATAAACAAATTTGCAGGTCTTAGGTGCATAAAATTAATCAGTCAATTGCCGGTGTCTATGTATATAGCTTTATGGTTCTATTGGATATTGTTGTATATGAGTAAAATCTATTTTCTTATTGCAATTATTACCATGGGCTTGACATTTTTTATGAGGTACTCTAGATAGTTTAATATTATTTTTTTAAACAAGATTAATTTTTGGAAACAACAAAGGAAGATAACTGTTGAGTTCATTCATCTGAAAATGTATTGGAGGCAACCCCATTTTATATCAATATTGGAGTGGTTATTATTACTGACTACTAGTTAGGAATGAGAGCTTGAACAGTGGATCATTATTATATGCAAAGAAGTTTGCCACCCTTTACTAACCAGAAGTATTAGTCTGATGGGCAAAACAAAATTCCGTTAAGTTTCCAATTTTTTTTGTTTTCGTATGGACTCTTTGCTCTCCTAATAATGCTCCCATTCACATGCTGCTCCTCCCTCCCCCCAATATAAGAGTAGAAGTCAAGGCCTCCTTCTATGCAGAGCGGTGTCCTGTAAAGCTTGTCTATCTTGTGGGGATATTCTAGCTTTTTATTTACAACAACATTCAATATGTTGAACAAATACATTCCCAACACTCATTATGCTCTAACTTCAAAGTGCCATATGTTGTTTTATTGTTTTTGTTCGCATGTGTCATAGACACTCAAGTACATCCCAAGCACCATCTTTTATCTCCAATGAGGATATTTTCGTTATAAGTACCCCATGTTGTGCATCCTTATTAGCAAATGAGTGTTGTGACTGTTGACTATTAATTTGACCAGTAAAAAACGAGTGGTCAATAAATCATGAAAAGTTGAGGTAATAGAAGAGTCACAACCTTTGCAAAATCAAACGAAAGGTTAGAGGTTTATTTTTACCGGTTGCAGTACCACTATGTTCAGATATGTAGAAATGATCGAAGTATTCCCCTAACTCTTGTAATGGTGTAGCCAAAGCTTCATCTAGAGCCAATTGTGAGTCAACACTTCCACCCCGCAAAGATTCACTGGCTTGTCCTGAAACCTGACTTCGGTCGCTGCTTTTGATCACAATCAGAACTTATTCCCTTGTTCTTGGCATTTGCTTGAAGTGACTGGTAAGATTCTAAATTTCAATTGTGGTCTATGGAGTTGACTAAGTGAGTTAAATTGCACTTCCTTTATCATGGCTATTAGGAGATAATGTACTGAGCTGATATAATATTTTGAACTTGCAACTCAATCATATTGGGAATAAGATTAATTGGTTGTCTCATAAATGATATCTAAAATATTTTTGTGATGTCTTTATTGTAGAAGTGTTACAAATGGCTGAGAGACGTGCTTCTGTGATGGTTTATTGGGGTGGTACCATATTCAAGAACCATGATGTTTTATGATACGATAATGGTTATAAGCGTGTGATAAAGGTTGCTCATGTCACAACTCACTCGGCTTTGGTA